GTAATGATATACAGGGCGTTCTATTTTAAAAAATGGAATTTTGGTCTGTAGCACCTACACCAAACACCCTGTATATTTAAAAATTATATCAAAATATAGCTCTCATGAACTCCTAAAACTTTTGTATGAAACATTTTTGTGTATCTCCTTCAACAAACCAGATATTGCCTGTCACATAAAATGTAGGACACCCGGTATATACCTTATACATTTCACATTTCATTTTATGTATTTCTGACTTACCTAATCCATGTAATAGTGGCAATGAAGGAGAAAATAAATATCTATCTATCTATCTATCTATAACTCAAAATCTATACGCGATGGAAAATTTTTGATGTTGAAGTCGCAGTCGCAGTCAGAATGCTTTGAACTCTCATCTACAGCCATCATCGTATTAGTAGGAATTTTTTTTATTTGTTGGCTAGTGATAACTTACCTTGGCCAGTTCTATTGAGACACACAATAGTCCACAAAAAAAGAGAAATAAAACAGTCTGAAACGAAAATATGTTGTACCTTTGGCCCCACCCATTTTCCAAGGATTCGACTAAAAAAATATGTACTGCATCGAGTCTGGTCTCTGATGTTTAATGGCTCAGATAAGTATCCTCTATCAATTTACTGTAACTTTTTTCATACACTGCATGATTATTGTGAAACACTTGTTTTCTACCGCATGTATGAATTAATAATCACAAATACCTACCAAAAACTAAAATTCATGAAACGACTACAACTGTATTTACATCGAGCTTGATTTTTACAAAAATCAACAGATTCGAAGATACGCTTGGGGTCGATTGAGAGAAGTTTATTCGAAAAAAGGCAAAAACGGTTCAACACGGTTTAACATAAATTGTAGCAGCGTGACGCCTGATTCTCTACATCTTATCCATGAAATGAGGTTCACCATTTTTCTCTCTTCTACGTGTCAAGATTTCACACCCGTTTTCATTGACAAGCAGTGTTTGTTCAAACTGTGCTGACCACTGACCGTCAGCGGTTACAGCAGTCCATTTGTCAGGCCACATCTCGTCTCGCCATGTTCCTTCTGATATCATCGGTTCAATGGTGAAACAGTGTCCTGGTTTCATCACTCCCACAGCTCGGTTCTCTGGAAACGATTGAAGCATGTTTTACAAGTAACATAACGAAAAAGTAGTAGATTGGTACGGAAGATTGCTAAAGACAAAAAAATGGCATTGAAATTACTTGAAAAGGTAAACAAATTCGTGCTGACAGCAGGAAAATTGAATTTGAGTAGATCCAAGGTCCAAAAACATTGATTTCAGGAGAGGAAAATGGTTTTAAACGTTTCAATCAATCAATCAATCAAATATACGTTATTGTCTGAAGAACTACATCTTGTAGACAAAGTCATAAATAATATGTAAGATACAAAAACCTACATCAAAAAAAAAACATACACAATTTAAACAAAATACAATAAACATAATCTGAAAATGTGAAATACACTGAGATATTCAGCTGGAAATAACAAGACATAGAAATAAAAGTTAAGATTCAAGTGAATCGTCAAGATACTCCTGAACTGAATAATAGGCCCTATCAACAAGTAGCACTTTAACTGCTTTTTTGAATTTGTTAAGCACAATTCGGGCTGGTAAGTGGTTAAACAGTTTGATCCCGTTGAATATAATTGAATCCCTAACAAGGGAGCTCGCAGGAATAGGCAGATCTGTGTTACTATTGTAGCTACGCCTATTATATGAGGAAGGGAGAGATGCACAAGAATAATTTTTTTTATCGAGCAAATTGATTCCAAGATAAACAGGGCAGCTACTGTTAAAATACCGTGAGCTATGAAAAGAGGCTTGCATGGATCCCTGGGAGCTGCTTTGCACATATATCGGACAGCTCTTTTTTTGGGCCCAAAAATCATTTGAAACAAATCTCTAGAACAGACTCCCCAGAAGGCAATTCCATATTTAATATGGGGATCTATTACAGCGAAATAAGCTGTTCTTGAATGGGAGTAGCCTAGATCTCTAGAAATCACTCTTAGTGCATAGCAACCTGAGGCAAGCTTCTTGCTTAAGTTTATTGTGTGATTTTTAAATTTCAGTTTATCATCAATGTTCAACCCTAGAAATGTATAATTATGTATGCTGTCTAAGATTTTGTCACCAAGGCAGATCTCAGGTAAGTTGCAGTGGAAAGTAAGTATGCTAGTTTTATTGATATTAAATGATAACTTAATGCAGTCGCACCTATCTTTGATTTTGTTGATGTCAGCTGAGATGGCATATTAAAGGGTAGGAATGTCCTTGTTGTGCCATAATAAAGTGGTGTCATCAGCAAAGAGAGTAATTGTGGCCGTTATATCTACAAAAGCCAAGTCATTTATGTAGATAAGAAACAAAATTGGGCCAAGGATCGATCCTTGTGGTACACCACATTTGATAGTTTGAGCACAGGAACACTCGGTTGTTTTAACTACCTGTTTGCCACCTGATAAGTACGAATGAAACTAGTGGAGAGTGTTGCCTCTGAAGCCATACTGTTGCAACTTATTAAGAAGGATCTCATGGTTGACACAGTCGAAAGCTTTCGATAGATCACAGAAAATAGCAGCGACTGCTTCTTTAGCGTTATATTCAGAGTAAATCGTTTCTAACAGAGAGAACATAGCATCACTAATACCCTTATTTGAACTGAAACTACGAGGGTGGTTTCAGAAGTACCCAGCCTGACCTAGAGATGGCGGTAGTTATTGAAAAATATCACTATAAAGACCATGTTTCAAGTTTGAAGACGCTGCGTTGTTTAGTATTTGTTTGGGAGTCATCAATAGTGAACATTTTCGGTGAATTTGTGAAAATGAGCAATTCACCACTGGGTAATTTTGAGATGACCATAATCTATTTGGGCTAATGGTGTTAGTTATGTGAATGATAGTATCGATAAACTATTGGTTGGCGCGTGCGGGACTCGCATCGCCGGCTTTTAGCGTTATTTTCGCCTCCTAATTAAAATGATAAATATTGGGGATAGAGTTCCGGGAGGTGGGACTTTTTTTTAGGAAATGTCCTCCTGTTTAAGGATCTTTTTTCAAAATTCGGATATCTTTAATATGTTCCAAGATATAGGCAAAAAACCAAACCCCTTTTTTGTTTTACCAAATTGTTTATAACTTTTGAAATTTTTTCGAGCCTCTCTTGAAAATTTTCAAAAAGTTGCTAGAGGTCATACCGAATCGAATGAGTCCTGGATCATAATTTCCGGTGCCCTTGGACAGAAGTTCCAAATAAATATAGTTTTAAAAAACTAAAAAACACGCTTTTAAAGAACATCAAACTAAAAAGTTAATTTTTTTTAATAAGCTTAAAACGATAACGAACGAAAAATACTATTATTATTGTAAAAAAAGCGAGGGGCGCCTGATATACAAAAATATGGCACAAAGCGCCCATCGTTTTTTCACATTAATGCTAGTATTTTTCGTTCGTTATTGTTTTAAGCTTATTAAAAAATATATTTTTAACTTTTTAGTTTGATGTTCTTTAAAAGCGTGTTTTTTTAGATTTTCAAAACTATATTTATTTTTTACTTTTTAGTTTCATATGCTATAAAAGCGTGTTTTTTAGTTTTTTTGAACTATATTTTTCACTTTTTAGTTCGATTTATTGTCAAAAATGAGATATGTCAAAAAAAAATTAAAAACAAACAATAAGTACAAACACATTAATTTCACAATCACACAATCAATTTCACACAAAAGTTAAAACATATTGGATGGATACATATCAAAAACAGTACATATAATGCATACTACATAGATGAAAATGAATCAGCCACACTTTTGAATAAAATCGTGTAAAGTATAAAATGCTCCTTGGATTAAGAACTTTTTCAGTGTATGTTTAAAAGTTTTTATTTTTGTTTCCGATTTCATGCTTTCAGGCAATAAGTTGAATAAATATGTCCCTGCATACAGAGGTGATTTTTTGTGATGTGATCTGAGTATGGGACGTAAGTGAAAGTCATTTTTCTTTCTCGTATCGTATCTGTGGTACTCACTGTTTTTGTTTAGTTTTCCTTTATTTAAAAAGATATACGTCAGTAATTTATACAAAGAAATAGATGTGAATGTATTTTTTTTAAAAGTTCTAGTCACTAAAGCAAATTCAAATCAAAGATCCTCACCAATCTGAATTATCAGTGGCTCGATTTGTGCCTCTATTATGTTATCAAGCTTCCACATCTTTGTCTCGACTTCCGATATCACATGCCGAACACACTTCTCCCATTTCTCCGCTGTTACTCTTTTCAAAGCCTCATCAAAAAGTACTTTGAGATCTGCAAATTTGAACGTGGTGTTATGCTGAGCTACAAAATTCTTCACATCCGCCCATATTAACTCGATGGGATTGAGCTCGCAGTGGTATGGAGGCAGGCGAAGGACAATTTTGTTTTGGCCTGCTGCCATCTCATCGACTATATATTTTTGGTATTCAAGCTTACGCTCCTTGACAATTTTTAGTAGCTGTACTCTTAGCAGTGAGTCTTCAAAGCTAATATTCTTTGATCGCAGCCAATTTTGGATTTCAACCTTCTTTGAAGACTTTGTCGGAATCTTCTCTAACCGTCGCGAATGATAAGGTACATTGTCCATTACAATCACGGCATTATCCTCCAGATGGGGTAGAACTTTGGAAAACCACTGTTCGAAAGATTCACCGTTCATTTCTTCGTGATAATCTCCAGTTACCACAGCCCTTTAGCAACAAACCCATTCTCATTGCCGATGTGACAAATAATAAGCCGTTTTCCTTTACCTACGTACAGCGCCATCTGTTCTCGAATAGATCAAGAAATATCAAAGAAGTTACGTACAGCGCCATCTGCCCGCGAATAGATCAAGCAATAATTGATAGTTACATACAGCGGCATTTGCACGCGAATAGATCAAGAAATATCACGGAGGTTGCGTACAGCGCCATCTGCCCGCGAATAGATCAAGCAATAATGCCGATAATTCTGTCAATACATATCCCGAGCTTGAGAGTTACAAGCAAACAAACATACACACATACACATGAAGCTAATATAAAGCTAATATAAACAGATTAAACAGATAAAAGACTTCAAATGTTTCAACATCTCTTTAGGATCATTTCTATTTGAATCAATATTTTTCTCATAATACACAATTTTCTTGTTTTTCAGTAAGTTAACATATTGATTTCTAACCGACTTACAGAGATGGGAGCATCGCTGGGAGATGTGTGTACAGTTAAAAGGAGACTGTTGAAAAATTAAAAAAACTTCTGAAAAAATATCTTGTATCTTTGTAAGCTCTAAAATGGGCAACATTTTCATAATTCGCCTGACAATGAATGTCTCAAAATTTTCCCACGCTGGCCCTCCCTATCTTAAAAACCGAATATATTGACATCAATACTTACTAGCGTAATGAGGTACATTTGGAGCAGTATGAAACAGTCTATGAATACCATGTCCACAATAGCTCCTTACCACAGAATATCCATTAGCCTGTGCATGTTTCTGTATAACATTTCCAATCTCTCTATACTTTTCTCCAGGTTTAACAATTCCTATTGCCTTCATCAGACATTCATGAGTCACTTTCACTAAATTTTTATGTTTTTCGCTAACGTTGCCAACGAAAAACGTCTCGTTCAAGTCTCCATGAAAATCGCGATGATATACAGTTATATCTACATTGCACAAATCGCCATCTTTCAAAGGCCTCATATCTGGAATTCCATGGCAGATGACTTCATTGACAGAAGTACAGCAAGATTTCGGGAATTCGTAATAGTTGAGGGGAGAAGGGTAGCAGTCGCGTTCGATACAAGCTTCGTGTACTATACGATCTATTTCATCGGTGGTGACACCGACATCACAAACCTTGGCAGCCTCGTCAAGAACTTCACGACCCAGTTTGCAAGCTACTCTCATTCCTGAAAAATAAAAAGCAGGCAATCAGTAAAATACTAGGGATTTTACGTTGACTACAAAATCAACTTGAACAGCCATACAAAAATGATTGAAAAGAAATACATCAATACAGGAAAACACTTTCGAAGTCTGACACTAAAACTGCAACTTAAATATATAAAATGCATTAAATAATCTTCAAACAGCTGAAACATCTACACTAGTCTTTCTCATAGTGGGTGATAACGCCCCCTTGTGGGCACTGGAGGCCTATAGGGGGGCAGTAGAGGGCACAGATAAGATTGGGGGGCGTTGAAGCGGTTCAAGGGGGGGTGAAGGCAAATTTAAAAATACTTTTTTGCTTCTACCACAAACTTGAACACTCATTTACGCTTAACGCGTAACGTTAACGCCGTGTAACGCCATCTAGGGGACTAGACAGTAACTATTTACTGTCCAATAGTTGTCAAACTGTACAATAGATGGCGGTAAGCTTCCACGCGAAGCGAGAAGTTTCTAGTCTCCATTCTCGAAAGTACTAGGCCCGCCCGCTGCCTCATATAAAAGCGCGCGCGCCATCCAGCCAGTAACGTCATTCGACGATATTACGAAAACAAATTAATTTAGTTAGCGACTAGCTAGGTAAAGGGCTGTACGTGCAGCTCAGCCAACTGTGTCAAAACTTTTTTCACCGACTTCTAAGCAAGACGACGACGGACTCCGAGCTTCCTACAATAGCTCCTTGCTCAAACAGGTAAACCTCACACTATTGGAGAGGATTTGATTTTACCGGCAATAAAAGAAGTAATAACTACTGTGCTCCATAAACCAGCAGCATATATCTGAAAAATTCCTTTGAGCAATAGTTCCGTGCGAAGACGACTTGATGAGATGGCTGAAAACATTGAAGAGTTATTGTGCAATCATCTGAAGACTTCTAAATTCTCAATTCAGATAGATGAGTCCACTTTACCAACCAATGAAATATTGTTGTTGTCATACGTGAGGTTTAATAAAAATGAAAAAATATATCAAGAACTACTATTTACCAGAAATTTACATAAGGATACAAAAGGAGAAACCATAAATAATACACTGGAAAAATTTTGTGATGTGAAAGAAATTCCACTGAAGAATATTATATCAGCTGCTACTGATGACGCTCCGGCTATGACAGGACATCACAAAGGTTTTATGTCGTACTTAAAAAATAAAATTCCAGATGTGCTCGCTATACATTGCGTCATTCATAGGCAACATTTGGTTGCAAAAAATTTGAGTGAGCGCCTCTCTCAATCACTGCAATATATCATCAAAGCAGTCAATATCCGAAACAGCTCTTTGAATGACAGATTATTTAATCAGCATTGTGATGCTAATGAAGAAGATTTCAACCGATTGCTATTTCACACAGAAGTGCGTTGGTTATCAAGAGGTAACTCTCTGACTCGATTTTACAATCTATTTGACTCTGTAATAGAGTTCTTGGAAAACAAAGGCAAAGGATTGCACGACAACCTCATCACTTCAAAGAATGATATTGTGTACTTGACAGACCTGAATAAATTATTTAATGATGTCAATCTCCAACTTCAAGGTGACGACTTGAAATTGATTAAAATAAAAAAATGTCATTGCTGTTTTTGTACCCAAATTGCTCTTATACAAGAATAATATAGGTAGACGTGAGTTTCGCAATTTCCCTAATTTGTCAGCAGTATTCTTCAACAACGAGGACAATGACAACAAAATTCAGCTGCCCAAAATTTCACTGTGGTAGTTAATGGTGCAGAGCCTCCATACACATAATCAAACTCATCTCAAACGATTTTTACATAACAAATGCACGTTCAAAATGGCTGAAACTTTGGTGAATAACTGTCAACATACGGAATTACATACAAGTTTCCACGCAAATTAACTAAAACTAAGACCTAATATTTCAATTTAAATCTTAGTTGCCATAGAAATGATATTACAGTTTGAACTTGTGAAAGATTCAAGTGTACTATTGTCAACAATATTCACCTTACAGTTCTTCGAATTATTTTGTGTCATGGCTGCAAGATTGAGCGTAAGAGAGAAAATTGAAATTATATGCCTTTCGGGAGATGACGTTAGAAGTGCTAGAGAAGTTTGTAGAGTATTTAATGAAAGACATCCGGATCATCCTCGTATTAGCTGCGGTACGGTAAATAAAATATTCAATGAAACTGGTGCAGTATCAAAAATGATGTTAAAAAGTAATCCTGTACAAAGACGAAACAGGAATGATCAAATCATTTTAGATTATTTCGGAAATAATCCTAATGCCAGTATAAGGAATGCCACTTTAGATTTGAATATTCGGAGATGTCTCAAGGCGAAGAATATTAAACCTTTCAAGCCAAAATTTTTACACACACTTCAAGAAGGCGACGAAGCAAGATGCCTGGAATGTTGTTTATGGGCCCAAGGGGAATATTTAAACAATAGAAATTTCCTGAAAAATATTTTATATACCGACGAAGCCACTTTCACTACAAATGGAGTAGTGTCATCACAGAATTGTCGCTATTGGGCAGCGGATAATCCTGAATGGGTATTAAACTGTAAAAGCCAGTATTCCCAAAAAATCAACGTCTGGTGTGGGATATTGAACGAACGAATTATTGGTCCTTTCTATTTTGAGGAAAACATTAATGCGCAGAGGTTTCTAGAATTTTTAAACACAGAGTTTTGGGATGCTATACACGAGCTGCCAATCAATGAACCATCAAATTGAATTGTCCAGTTAGATGGGTGTTCAGTTCATTATGTCAGAGCTGTGAGGCAATGGCTTAACGAACATTTTCCAAACCGATGGATAGGCCGTGTTACTCCGTTTATAGAGTGGCCACCCAGATCTCCAGACCTCACAGTTTTGGACTTTTTTCTCTGGGGACTTCTCACACAAAAGGTTTACAAAAACCGCTCAAGAGATAGAAATGAACTTTGTGCAAGAATTCGGCAGGTATGTGCAGATATTAGCCCTCAAGAACTAAGGAACGTAATCAGAAACATTCGTAAGAGCTACGACACATGTATCGAAATACGTGGTGGATTAGTAGAGGCTACTAGAATATGAGTTAGAATTAATTGTTGCACTGAATCGAAACATGTCAATAATTAGTTATTAGTTACGTTTATTAAATTTTTTTGCTTCATTGTTAGTTGAATTGTGTGAATGTAATTCCTTTATTTTCATTAAAAGTATTTACGCTATTTGTTTTTTTTTTCATCTGGCGGCACTTTATTGTTGAAATCATATAAAAAATATTATCATGGCTATATCTGTTGATATAGGGTGATTTTTGTAAGTGTTAGCTGTGTGAGTTTTCGAATTTTTGAGTTGTCATAACTTTGTTAATAATGAATATTTTTTCATGAAATTTTGGTCACACCTATTTAGAGGCACTCTGAATCCAGTGGCGTAGTAATTTTTTTCAATAAAAAAATCGCTAATAAAAAATCCCGATTTTCGACTAAGAAAAAATATCGTAGTATACCCCGAAACTTTAATAAACATTTCAAATTTTGTCCCAAGGTAGACCTTTTAGTACTTGACATTAAAAAAGAATTATTAAAATCGATTTACAACTTCAAATTTTAGGGGGGGTGTTTCCATTAAAAATGGGTCACACTGTAGGAGTGCTGTTATCTTCATGTTGTGATCGGAAACTAGCAGACCACCCTAGTAATATTCAACACTGATTATTCATAATGTTACATAATCATACATACCCTCAATTTCCTCGTCATCTAAAATTTTAATTACTCCAGAACCTTTAACAGCTTGTTCACTCAGTGGAAATCCTTGAGGATGATCAGCATAATCAGGTCTTCCAATACCTAATGGTACAGTCCTTTTTGGGGTTTGCGGAAATGGGCGTAGCTTCCCTGTAAAGTTGAACTGGGGCCAAGGATCATAAACTTGTCCATCTTTCACGTCATCACCCTCTGAAAATTGAAACATGCAACACTGCATAAGTTAACAATCCTGGCCATGAATGAGAGATAATATGTATGATAAAATGAATATTTTTATTCAAATTGGGATCCTGAAACTGATGAAGATAAGGTGACAACAAACGATTGAAGAATTCTACATTTTGAATAATTTGAAATATTGATTGTTCACAATTAATTTGAAACTAATTTGCTTTGTAATCAGGGGTGTACTCATGATCCGAAGCATTTATAGATAGTAGAAATAAAAATCATCATCATCATCAATCATCTGCTGCCAATTCACATCTTTGACGACCACAATGGAAGATTCCAAATTAATTCAAGTCAAAAAACAGGGTGTTCCTTAAACACATGCTAATATTTAAGGAGGTAATTCTTAGACCCATTTTAAGAAAAAAACTTCCTATGGACGTATGTCCTAAACACCTTAACTTTTGAGATACAGGGTGGCAAAGTTTTCAAAAATAATCAGTTTTTTAATAATAACTGAGATAATTTTGTAGACATCTTTGGCATATTTGGTATATATGTTCCATGCCTCAAGGCGCATTTTCTGATGTACACAAATTTGTATTTTTTCAAACAGTGGCATCCCTACGGGTTTCGCA